CTCGGAATATTCTGTTTTTGTTTTGTTTGTTCACTGGTTTTCTGTCAGTCTGTCTTTGAGTTCGTTCTCTCTCTCTCTCTCTCTCTCTCTCTCTCTCTCTCTCTCTCTCTCTCTCTCTCTCTCTCTCTCTCTCTCTCTCTCTCTCTCTCTACCATCCGTTGTCTTGTAGAAAGATTCTTTGTTAGCGCCAGCAGTACCTTCCAGCATGAAGGTAAGTGAAAACCTGCTTTTAACAACGCTGTTTTGATAAGGCACTTAATGTTATGAAATCATAGTTTTCATTCATACTTATGTACTGTCTGTGTAGTCTCGTCTCTCTCTCTCTCTCTCTCTCTCTCTCTCTCTCTCTCTCTCTCTCTCTCTCTCTCTCTCTCTCTCTCTCTCTCTCTCTCTCACACACACACACACACACACACACACACACCAATGTCAGTCTACATATTAAAATAATTGGTAACTGTGCTGCATGAAGGAACCTTACTGACTCTCCTTGGTAATAGCTGAGGGTAAACTACCATTCGTGGACTAAAACTAGCAAACTAGCAGCTTCACCAGGACCACGCCCTTTCTCCCCCTCCCCCCACACGCCCACATTAGAGATATTCTGACTAAGGTCTAAGAAAGAACTAATTTAGACCTTCGTGACTGCTCACTGCCCAGGCTACAAATGTCAGCGAAAATGGCGACGAAACAAAAGAACGTCGCTTGTCTCTATTTTCTTTTCTTTCTTTCTTTTTTCTTTCGTTTTGGTGATGCAGTTGATACTGTCTTTTTTCACATAAGTATACTTCAATTCGCTTTCTTTTTTTTCATAAATATGGTTTTCTGAGATCGACTTTTGCAACTTGAACTCCTGGCGACAATTTGTAGCTGTGTTTACAGTGAGAGGTTATAAAAACAGCCTACGCTTTTAGACTAAAGACCGAGTGAAATAAAATACTAAACTTTATTCTAATGGAGATTCTAACAATCACATTTTCTGCGCGGATTACACACTTGAGAAAAGAATAACAACAAAAAACGACAACAACGACTTGAAATACGCTTTAGTTTTTATCCTAGATCCAGAAAAAAAAATCTTAATGATCAACACCAAAGTTCAAAATCTTATATACCTAATATCAGAGGCAGTCGAGAGATTTGGTCAAGTCTCATTTCCAAAAGTTGCAGAGACGGGTTTAGCACAAGGCACATGCAACGGAACATAATATAAAAACCTTCCTTACACACAACAGCACATATCTTTCTCTTGGCTCTCAAATGTACCATGATGTACAACACATACGTAATTATGGAACATGACATGAAAACTGAAAACGTAGTAAATGAAGCGACTAATGGAAGTTAACTTATAAATATTCAGAAATGTCTTTTAAGCAGCAAGTTGTATTCCCATCCGGCACTGTTTGTGACACTTCCGAGTGACTTTGTGACACTTCCGAGTGACTTCAACAGCGCGGCAACTAACTCTGGACTTCGAGATGCCTTACTATCGACATTACAATCGGTTTATAGAAGAGATATTTTTTAAAAAAGGTATATAGTAAAGGTACTTTCAAAGTATATATATCAAACTTTCATGAGCAATCTCATCAGCAAATAAAAAGAAAAAAAGAATATGCAAAGATTCGTGAAAAATAAAAAAATGGATTACGAGCTTAATGTTGTGAAAGACGTCCATCTGTGAGACATTGGCAACACCTTTGAGAGATCATTCATGGGAAAAAAACCTGGACATTTCTTTGGGATATTATTTCCTAAAATGACCTTCTAAAAGTCTGTTTTTTTCAAACATTTCACGCTTGTTCGTTTATATTTATGTGTTTTTTTTTTAATAGTTTTCTTTGTTTGTTTTTATTTTTTTTTCTATTCGTGGTTCACCATTGGCAGCACAAACTCAGCAGTCTTTGTTTATAAATTCTGTTTTCCTTCACAATAATCCCTTCACTTTCTCACTTCTCTGTCTTATAAAAGTTTTCTGTACGCTTTTTTCACTCACTTCATTTTTATTTTTCTCTACCTTGTTTATCTTCCTTATCGTTAAACTTCTCTGCTCTCTTTCCTCTCACTTATCGCTCTTATTATTACATTTCTCTTCTTCGCTTCTTTCTCTTTATCCTTCTCTTTAAAATTCTTTACATTTCAATCAGTGGCCGCATTTATCTCATTCTTTCATTCCTCCTCCATTTTTCTTTTCTCTCTTCGTCTCTCTCCTCGTCCCCTATGCGATGTTTCCTTCTCCCTTTTTCTTTTCTAAGATGCTCCAGTTCTACCTTTTCTTTTATTTCCTTTAATCGTTTCTTCTCCTATTTCCTTTATCACAATTCGTCTATATATATATATATATATATATATATATATATATATATATATATATATATATATATATAATCAAGTAAACGTTCGTTTTTTTTTTCGTTTCTTACACACAATGGCACGTTTTTTTATGTAACTAATTTCGCTCAACAGGCAAAGCTGCTGATCCCGTTGTGAATAAATATCCTAAAAATAGAAAGTAACAATTTTAAACTACAACCTCACCCTAAGCACCACTAAGCAAGAACAAGCGATTGTCTTTTGTTTTCCTCTTCTTTTCTTTTGTTTATTCCTTCTTTCTCTTCAATAATCATCTACATACACTCGTGAATGAACAAAGGTTATTACGTAATTATATATATATATATTTATATACATATACACGCATGCATCTAGTAAAAGAGTGTATTATTTCGACAATTACAAGAATATCTTTGGTACTTTGTCAATTAAACAGTTATATATATATTAAAAAAAAAAAAAAGTTTGAGGAGAGACAGCAACAGAAATGTGGGATTTTTTTTTTAACCTGCCTTGATATTCATAATTTTACCCTATGAATGTGTTGGTCTAAAAGCACCAATACTAATACGGTTCTTTAAAAGATCAACTGACTCGTTAATCAAAAGAAAAAAAAATATCTAAAAAAACATATATGTAATTAAGCTTTGTAGTTTTTTATATATAAAAAGAGGGAATCGGGTAAACAAAAACTAGCAATACTCCACAATACAAATAGCGAAAAAAAATGAGGAACTACTTCGTAAGAACAACAAGGACACTATACGAATGTTTTGGTAATTGGGGAAAAAATGTTCCAAACTACTGTTCCAGGGGACTTTCCTACCTTCCAACAGCCCCTCCCCCCCTTCGCCAACGCTTCACGTAGCTGCTTCCCTGCTTCTACCGTTTCCAGTGACAAGAACAATACCCTTTCTTCATAAACAAACAAATAAAAAAAGGAAAATACTATACAAGGATTCTACACCTAACACGATTGTTTGTTTTTCATCACAACTTCTTTGTTCTATCACTGGTACTTAATGAACAACCTGTGAACAACATAATTCAGTGAATGTGAACAACCACTGTCAGCAGACAAGTTTTTTTAACTTTTGTAGGTCAACTGAGTCTAATAATGTTAGAAATAAAAAAAAAACTATTGCTGTATTTTTAAATTACAATATTCGTGTGTTTTTTTGTTTGTTTTTTCAAAGACCTGGTTGCTTGTTTTGTCTCTTAACCACTTTTTCAATCAACCATTGCCTTCCGAGATAAATAAATACCATGCATTCACTTTGCCAACGAGACTTCCGCAACATGCAAAGCCAATGGCACTCCAGGTCCCTCGGTCTCGATGATCAGCTGATCCACCGAAGACATTTCTGATCCACACTCCTCGACACCGTGGCGAAAACAACGACTGCTTTACACTGCATTTCCCTTCCCTGCATTGCATTGTAACCGCCTAATGTGACTCGGTGAGACGCGCAGGACTAAGAACATAACGTAATAAAAGAGCATCAGTTCGCTGCCTCGGTTCGCACTGCAAGCAAAAGGCAATGCAAGAGGCATTTTACAACACTTATGTCACGCGTGCAAGAGTGCTTAAACCTGGCAGTGACAATGGTACAAAATGGTTCATGGCCGATCACTGAGAGTGCCGCCAGCGCTTATCATGAACAGAGACAGATTCACGAACACTTATCCATCAAACACAAAACTAAGAATTATTGAGATCGTCGTTCACCACCAGCGCTTTCCTGGGTCTGGCTGCCCTCTGTCCCCCCCCCCCCCCCTGGCGACAACTGCAGCGGTCCAGCTACTTCGCACCCTTCGTCTTGTGCTTAGTTTCAGTACACACACTTTCGCATTCTCTTTTTTTCTCAGCACTGGCGTTTGGCTCAAGGGCTCCTAAACACTACGCGCCGAGCCGGCAGCCCCTGTCATGCGAGTTCATGCTGCGTCAAGATCGCCAGCAGCTGCGACCCGACCACCGCCCACACAACCGCTCGCTGGGGCGGGCCTGGCTCCCGAGCCGCCGAGCACGGGGCCTCGCCGCCGCCAGCGCCGCCGGCAGAGGAGGCCTCGGCGCCCCAGCAGCTGACCAGGATGGGGAGGCCCGACATCCCCGCGGCGCCGTCCTCAGCCAGGCCCCGTGCGTTCCCTCAGCGGTTCCTATGACGCTTCTTCCCTCTCTTGGGGCAATCCTCCACGGGGATGCAGGCGCCCCGGTGCAGCACGGACGGCGGCGGGCAGTAGCAGCCCGCGAGACACTCGAGCTTGTAGCAGTTGGGGTTCGGCGTCGGGTTCCTGCAGGTGGCGTTGCAGGGGGGCGCGCACTCCATGTACTCGGCTCCGCGGGGGCACTCCAGGCCTGGGGGGGAAGGTGCGGCGTCAGATGAGAGGAGGGGAGGAATTTGAACTACATCACATGCACTGGTACTAAGAGAGAGGGAGGGAGGGCAAGGAAGAGAGAGAGAGAGAGAGAGAGAGAGAGAGAGAGAGAGAGAGAGAGAGAGAGAGAGAGAGAGAGAGAGAGAGAGAGAGAGAGAGAGAGAGAGAGAGAGAGAGAGAGAGAGAGAGAGAGAGAGAGAGAGAGAGAGAGACAGTCATAGACGAACGGAGAAGCAGATGAAACAGAGATCCACAAATAGAAAACAAACAACAAAGGAAGTGATAAACAAATCACATCCGCGAGATGACTCCTTGTTTACATAATTAATGATAATGATATCGACAAAAATAACAAGGAACACTCACCTCCACACTTGCTTTGGTTTCTCCAGTCGAGCACGGGCGTCCCTAGGTGCTGGCACACCCTCGCGTACGCCTGCAGGGTGTCACACTCGCACCTTCGAGAGGCCCTACACTCACACATGTCCAGAATACAGGACCTGTGGGGGGGAAAGGGCAGGTTGACAAATGCGACGTTGCGCTGTGGACTGTGGCTTGGGTGTAATGTGTCGATTTGGGATTTTGTAATGGTAATAATGTAGGTCTGTGGATCCTGTCGATAAAGATAAAGAGTTATGGAATTTTATACTGATAATAATGATGATGTTGTGCCCTGTGGGCCTGTGGGTCTACTGCACTACTGCTAATGATTTTGTAATGATAATAATGAATATGCTGTTGTCTGTGGGTCTTGGTATATTTCGATAAAGATTAAGCATTTGAGTCTGAGTTTTGAGACTAGATAAGGGAGATAATGATGAGTGAATAAAACTAATAATAGAATCAATAATAAAAACAGTGATAATGAAAACAACAACAATAATAATGATACTACTAATAATAATCATAATCATCATTGTCATCACCATCATGATGATAATAATAGCAATAATAACAATAACAGTAATAATAATAATAGCAATAGTAACACCAACAACGCCACCGCTAGCAACAAGAGCGAACGCAGCCTTCGCGGAGCCTTACTCGCGGTACATGTCGACGGGGTTCGTGGCGTGGCAGGCCTGGAACGACGTCGAGTTGAGGATGCTGCAGCGCTGGAGGGCCTTGGAGCGCGACACGGGGCACGTGAGGCGCTGGGCCCGCGTCGTGCCCAGGCTCTGCGCCTCGTTCCGCTTGGCCTGCGCGTCCTGGTGGGCCTTCATCCTTCGCCAGCAGACCCTGGCCCTGCCCGTGGCCCACGACAAGGCCATGAGGTCCGCCGTGGCCACCGGGCGTCCGTCCTTGGTGGTGAGGTCGTCGGTGGCGTTGCCGTTGAAGTTCCCGCAGAGGCCGCAGGTGCGGCCCTGCATCGACTCGGGCACCTCCACCTCCACGTAACTCCCGCCGTCCCACAGCACGCTGATGCCTGCGGGAAACGGGGTCTTAGACTGCTGGCCATATATATATACATATATATATATTATATATACATGTATATGCATATATATTCATACACACACACACACAATGTATATATATATATATATATATATATATATATATATATATATATATATATATATATATATATATATAATGTTTATATATATACATACATATATTTACACATATATATGTATTCATATACATCACACACACACACACACACACACAATATACAGATAGATAGCCAGAGCGCCTGGGAGAGAGAATGCGGCCGCGCCTCACCTCTGGACGTGGTGATGGACACGGCCTTGCCTTGCAGGTTGAGCTGCAGGACGCCTTCCATCTGGTGGGGCGGCGTCACTTTCTTGCCATTGATCTTGACGCGAAGGTTTTGCCCCAAAGTCACCTGGAGGAGGAATTGTAACGAATGTCTGTATCGCTGTACGTGCAATGTCCGACGCGCATCATATATGTACACATATAAATACACACACCCGTACACACACAACCTCCCCCCGTTCCCACATCCCTCACCCGGCCCCATCCAACACAAACAACCTAACTACCTAACGACCCAACGACCTAACGACCCAATTAAAATACAGTGATGGATTTCTACTATTTTAAGGCATTGAGAAAAGTGTTTGTATTGGGAAAACTTGGCAAATTTTGTCCATCTATTACCGTCGAGATAAAGGTTCTTGCTTTTGTAGAAGAAAAGAGAAAATGAATAAGATTTAATATCTTTACGTGAGGGAGGTATTTGACGCGCTTCGCTTACATCTTCCCCTAAAATAAATGGATCAACGCCACTCAACAGACACTAGTAAACGGCAGCATCTTCCTTAATATTTTTGTCTCATTATCATTATTATCATTATCACCTTACCTTTGCTCCGGGTATTTTGAGGGACAGGCTTTTGGTCCAGGAAAAGTGAGACGACCTCCTTGCGTCGTTAATCACTTTGAGGCTGAATTCTTTTCCTTTGCAAGTCTTGGCCAGCCAGTACATGCAGGCGCCCTGAAATACGAGATGTTGGTTGGTTTTGCAATGGGCTTTTATCGAGGTTGGTGTTATAATAAGGTGCAATGGAATATATGGATTTTCTTTTTCTTTTTTACTGAGATTTCATTCTTTTTAGGTTTGGATATCATTAGTACTTTATACTTTATACACATATATATATTTTTTGTGAGGGAGAGTACTAATGAATTATTTCCGATTAGAACGATATATTATAACCTTTAATGATGCTACTCAACTGTATATATTCTGGAAGTATTATTTTGTACTGTGCACTGACGTCACCTTATTGATTCTTAGGCACTGATAAAAAACTAACATTTTCTCAAACTAATCTTCAACGATAATATAAATCTATGATAAAATAACAATACTAGTACAAATAGTAGTTATTATTACTATTATTATTATTATTATCATTATTATGATTATTATCATTACTAATATTATTATTATCATTATTATTATCATTATCATTATCATTATCATATTTATTATCATAATAATTAATATAATCATTATTATCATTGATATTGCTGATACTGCAGTTATCTTTATTATTATAGTTGCTGCTCTGTTTTATTGTTGCAGACATTTATTATCATGATCATAGTGATGATGATGATGGTTTTCATTACTATTATCATTATTGTTGTTATTATCATTATTATCATCATTATTTTATTGTAATTTTTACCATAATCACCATCGTTATCATCGTCATCATCATCATTATATATCATCATCATTATCTGCATTATCATCATCATTATAATAATAATAATAATAATAATAAATATTATTATTATTATTATTATCATTATTATTATTACTGTTATCATTATCACTATTAATTATTATTATCATTATTATCATAATCATTATTATTATTACTGTTGATTTTATCATTATTATCATTACTTTTATGACCATTGACATTATACATTTATTTATAATCGTCATCATTATTATTATTATAATCATTATTGTTATTGTTATTATTATTACTGTAACTATAACTATAACTACTACCATCATTATCATTATTATTATACATATTCATTATCATTATTATCATTACTATTATCATTATTATTATATGCAAATATTACTATTATAATTATTATTATAATTATCATTATCATCAATATTATCATCATTATCATTATCTTTATAATCATTGCTATTATTATCATTATCATCATTATTATCATTATTATTATTATTATTACTATTATTATCATTATCATTATCATTATCATTATCATTAATTATTTAAAGTAGTAAAGCAGTAGTACTAATATCATTAATGTCATAAGCATTGTTACTGTTATCACTATTGTCGTTATCACTATTATTAATTATATCGCTATCGGTGTTAATGCTGTTGATTTTTTTTTCTCATGTTGACAATGGAATTATCATTATGATGTTTATGATTGCTACTATTTTTTTCCATACTATTTAGTACGATGTTAATTGTAACTTTTAATACTGTACAGATATAGATATATATAAAAGTTATGTGCATATGATTGTTAATATCATCCATGCCACTTTACTGCAAATGACACAGTTACTAACTAACAGCGTTGTTAGTGTTAGCTTATAACAACGCCATTGGATAACCATCAATTTAATCATTAATACCCCCAGTTTTCGTGGTTTAATCCATGTCTTTAATGTTATCTTAATTATTTTTCTGCAATGTCGATTGTAATCAGTATTTTTTTTATTATCATTTAAGGTCAAGTGTTAGCCCTTTTTGGGACTAACCTTCAAACAGTCGTTGTTGTTGCAAGGGTTTCTGTTAACAGTTAACTGAAAACAACTTCGTTTCATAAGTAGAAATAAACAATGGATTAATTCTACTTTTTTTTCTTCAACATTATGGTTATTATTATTTATATCTTGTTTATTGGAATTTTCTCTCTTTTCTCCCCCTTTTTTTGTGGTATGTGCATGTTTGTTTGTTTATGTCAGTGTACGTGTATTTGTATATTCAACCAGGGCATCAAACATTCACAATTTATCCCAAACATTTTCATACATTTTTCTTTATTCTTTGGCCTTTTCTCTTCATCTCAAGCTAATTAGCCACCGCAAACAGACACTGCCGGGACTCAGAGGCAAGCTACTGACCTGGAAGTTGAAGATGAGACCATCGAACGTCCTGTAGTGGGGGTCGCCGTAGACAATGCAGACACCGGGAGCTTTTTCACACCTCGGGCAACACTCGCTGTCCGATTCCACGCGCTGTTGGGGGGGTGAGAGGAGGAGGGCATTTAATGGGGTGTTGATTTGGCGATCTGTTTGTCTGTGTGTTTGTCTGGGTATCTACCCGTCTCTCTGTCTGATTGTGCAATTGCCTGTCTGTCTATTATTGTACACAGGGCATTATTTTTATATGATTTGTTTTCCTTTGTCACGTTAAAATTATAATTCGGTTCGTTTAAGTTTGATTTTATAGTCTCAAAGCGAAAACAAATTGAGGGTTAAGCATAACACAGATTCGCTATTTCTGAAAAAAGGGCGTCCCAATGAGCCGCTTTCTCGGGCCGCCAGCAAATTCGTAGCCAAACGCACCCTGTATCCCGGCGGGCACGGAATGTTGTAGAACTTGCAGGGTAGTACGTGGCACGTGACCTTGCCGTCGTCGCACGAGCACGACGTGCACTTGTCGAGCTGCCACGTGTCGCCGTTCTTGTAGGTGGTCCCGAACTCGTAGCAGACGCTCTCCAGCTGGGCGGCGGCGGTGCAGGAGGGACAGCACTCGTTCTCGTGCGTCACCTGGTACTCTTGCGAGCAGTTGAGCACCGGGCACGTGCGCCGCTCGCACGTGATGGAGCCTTCGTTACACGTGCAGGTAGTGCAGGGGTCCACCGAGCGCTCGGCGCCGCTCTGGTACAGGTAGCCGGTGAGGAAGCAGCGGCCGCCCGGCGGGGTCATCATCGGCCGCGACCCTGCGGGGAGAGCCAGGTCAGGAAAACGCGGTGTCTGGGGGAGGCATTCGCTCTCACGCTCTCTCTCTCTCTCTCTCTCTCCCTCCTCCTCTCCCTCTCCCTCTCCCTCTCCCTCTCCTTCTCTCTCTCTCTCTCTCTCTCTCTCTCTCTCTCTCTCTCTCTCTCTCTCTCTCTCTCTCTCTCTCTCTCTCTCTCTCTCTCTCTCTCTCCATATATATATAATATATATATATATATATATATATATATATATATACATATATATATGTACTTGTTTATTAATTGCAAGTCCTGTCTATTCCCTTACGTAACATAAACCTGCAGCATTTGCCTCCCCGACAGAAAGAGTGCAGCCCAGGCAGCCCCTCTTTGGGACAAGCTTGACTGCGTGTTTGTTGTTGATCGCCGCCTGACCTTGGCTTGCCGTAACACACACGCTCACCCACCCTGGCAGGTCGCGCAGTACCCACGCAGCTGATTAGGTCATGTATGCAGCACTGGGAATCAGCAACCTCCTCACCACTCAGTTAATTAAGCCATGCATGCAGCACTGGGAACTCTGAGACACTCATTCAGTTAAGTCAATCACTCCCTCTATTTGCTTATGCGACACAATGACCTCTCTCACTCCCTAAAAAAAAAAAAAAAAAAAAAAATCATGCAGCACCGAACTTCAACACAATCTCGTCACTTCCCTGGCAAAACATGCAACATCCATGCACTCAAACACTCAACTAGCCCTGTTAGAAATCACGTACCACCGCCTCACGCAACCAAGTACCAAAAAATCCAACTCTCACAACCTGATAGATCATGCACCTCATGGATCCCCACTTACTCATCTACACAAATCATGCACCCAAGGACATCCACCAACTCATCCAGTCAAATCACCCAATGCCTTCACTCACCCTGGCAGGTCATGTACCCTTAAGTACATATCCTCACTCATTCTGTCAAGGCATGTGACCTTAAAGACACGTCGTAACACACCTTGGCAAGTCATGCACCCTAAGGACCCCACTCACTGCTATGTCATATACCTTTAAGGGCACATTCTAACACATCCTGTCAAATCGTGCATGCCAAGAACATCCCCACTCACTACCTTGTTAATTCCTGCGCCCTAGTCATGGATCTTTAAGGGTACACCTAACACAACTGGGGAAATCATGCACCCTATGGACACCCCACTCACTCCCCTGCCATGTCAAAAAAAAAAAAAAAATCATGCAGCACCGAACTTCAACACAATCTCGTCACTTCCCTGGCAAAACATGCAACATCCATGCACTCAAACACTCAACTAGCCCTGTTAGAAATCACGTACCACCGCCTCACGAAACCAAGTACCAAAAAATCCAACTCTCACTCATACAACCTGATAGATCATGCACCTCATGGATTCCCACTTACTCATCTACACAAATCATGCACCCAAGGACATCCACCTACTCATCCAGTCAAATTATACAGTACCCAATGCCTTCACTCACCCTGGCAGGTCATGTACCCTTAAGTACATATCCTCACTCATTCTGTCAAGGCATGTGACCTTAAAGACACGTCCTAACACACCTTGGCAAGTCATGCACCCTAAGGACCCCACTCACTGCTATGTCATATACCTTTAAGGGCACATTCTAACACATCCTGTCAAATCGTGCATGCCAAGAACATCCCCACTCACTACCTTGTTAATTCCCGTGCCCTAGTCATGGATCTTTAAGGGTACACCTAACACAACTGGGGAAATCATGCACCCTATGGACACCCCACTCACTCCCCTGCCATGTCATGCACCCTTAACAATACTCCCAAACACACACTGTCAAGTCACGCATCCCAAGGACAGCCCGCGCACTCTCCCGTCAATTCCCTTAAGGACACACACCCCTTAACACCCCTGTCGAGACCTAAAACCTTAAGGACACACCCCATCTGATACCCTGCCACGTACCCCTCACCCTAAAAAAAACGCCCTAGATACTCACCACTACAGGTCTTGCAGCAGCCGTAACTAGACGGGACCTGCCTCATCTCGGCGCAGGACAGGACGGGACAGGATCTTTTCTCGCACGTGAGTTTGCCGTCAAAACACACGCAACGCACGCAAGGGTCGATCTTTGACGTCATGACTTCGCCTTCAGGAACCCGCCGACCTTCCAGCCAACAGCCTGTGGGAGGGAGAGGGCGTGGTGAGTGGAGGAGAGGATTGGGGAAAATGGGTGATTGCAGATTGGTAGATGGTATTAACAAGATTTTTTTTTTTTTTTTTTGGGGGGGGAGGCTGGTAAATCCTGCTGTTTGGCGCGAATAGGCACTTAAAAGATTGGGGATTTGTAGGACTGGTTATTAAGATTAGTTGGTTAGTGAGAATAGACACGTAAATGATTGGCGATTTGCGTAGTTGGGAATTCAAGGATTGGTGATTGGCAGGATTGGTAGGAACTTGCTGTTTGGTGAGAATGACACGGAGAGGATTGGAGATCTTGGGATTAATTTGGTAAGATTAGGATTGGTTGGTGAGAATAACATTTAAAATTGGTTGTTGAGAATGACATCCAAAGGACTGGTGATTTTAGGATTAGTCAGTGGGACCAAGATTAGGATTAGGACCAGGATTAGGTGATGGTGAGGATGACATTTAAAGGATTGGCGATTCGTTTTGTGTGAAAGTGGCCCTTTTATGATTGGAAAAGCGTTAGGGATTAGTGATGGGAAAATCGTTGTGTTGTGTTTATGATATACTACATATAACTCGAGCATAACAGGTTTAATATGTGGATAAGTAAATAAATAAGTGAATAAATAGATAAATAAATAAATAAGTGAATAAACAGATCAGTAAATAAATAAGTGATTAAACAGATAAATAAATAGATAAGTGAATAAATAGGTCAGTAAATAGATAAGTGAATAAATAGATAAGTGAAAAAATAGATAAGTGAATAAATAGATGAATAGATAAATAAGTGAACAGATAGATAAATTAATAAAAAAGTGAATAAGCACGTAGGCCAAGAACTGAGTAAACAAAACCGCCAAATTCATAGATAAAAAAACACGAAAAACAATAAACAGGCCAAAAAAAAAGATAGAAAATAGACAAGTTCGAAAAAAACTGTATATACATAGATATATTCACATAAAAAAAATCATAGAGAATTTACTATCACTCAAATAATAAACGAGAAACATATGACGTTTTCAGAGGAATAAAAAAATACAGATTTTTAATATTCATTTTTTTCGTCTATCAATCTGTCTCCGTTTCGTTATTTGCTTCATCTTTATTTTATCTCTTTCTCCTAGAGAATGAGAGGAAAGAGAAGGGAAGGGAAGAGGAGAAGAATTAAGAAAGAGAAGGGAAGGGAAGAGGAGAGGTAGGAGAAGATAAAGACGAAGTGGAAAGGAAAAGAGAGAAAAGAAGGAGGACAAGAGAGATGGAAGAAGAAAAAGGAGAAAATAAGAAGGAGAAGAGCGAGAGGAAGTAAAGAGAGAAAAGAGGGAAGAGAAGAGAAACGAGGGGAGAGAAGTAGAACAAGAGACAGACGAAGTAGAAAAAAACGAAAAACGAAAAGAAGAACAAGAAAAAAGAGAAGGAGAAAAAGAAAAAGAAAAAGAACGAAAGAGGAGAAAGAAAGCAAAAGAGAAAGAGATGAGAGGGGAGAGAGAGAAGAGAGGCGAGGGGAGAGAGAGAGGCGAGGGGAGAGAGAGAGGCGAGGGGAGAGAGAGAGCCGAGGGGAGAGGAGAGAGGCGAGGGGAGAGAGAGAGAGGCGAGGGGAGAGAGAGAGACGAGAAAAGAGAGAGAGGCGAGGGGAGAGAGAGAGGCGAGGGGAGAGAGAGAGAGGCGAGGGGAGAGAGAGAGGCGAGGGGAGAGAGAGAGAGGCGAGGGGAGAGAGAGAGACGAGAAAAGAGAGAGAGGCGAGGGGAGAGAGAGAGACGAGAAAAGAGAGAGAGGCGAGGGGAGAGAGAGAGGCGAGGGGAGAGAGAGAGAGGCGAGGGGAGAGAGAGAGGCGAGGGGAGAGAGAGAGAGGCGAGGGGAGAGAGAGAGACGAGAAAAGAGAGAGAGGCGATGGGAGAGAGAGAGACGAGAAGAGAGAGAGAGGCGAGGGGAGAGAGAGTGAGGCGAGGGGAGAGAGAGAGAGGCGAGGGGAGAGAGAGAGGCGAGGGGAGAGAGAGAGAGGCGAGGGGAGAGAGAGAGACGAGAAAAGAGAGAGAGGCGAGGGGAGAGAGAGAGAGGCGAGGAGAGAGAGAGAGGCGAGGGGAGAGAGAGAGACGAGAAGAGAGAGAGAGGCGAGGGGAGAGAGAGAGAGGCGAGGGGAGAGGAGAGAGAGGAGAGAGGCGAGGGGAGAGAGAGAGAGGCGAAGGCAGCACAACCGAGGGGACTAACCAGCGTCGTCGGAAGAGGGGGGGGGGGGGGGGGCATGACACGTCGCAGGCCCCTCGAACGGTAAACAAGTCTTGCTCATTAGGGGGGTAACAGACAGTGGTAACAGCCTCCGGGTTTATGTTAAGTGGGCAGCAGTAGCTAGTAAACCTTGTTCCTCTCTCCTGTTCCTTCTTTTCCTCTTAATTTGTCTTTATTCTCTCTCTCTCTCTCTCTCTCTCTCTCTCTCTCTCTCTCTCTCTCTCTCTCTCTCTCTCTCTCTCTCTCTCTCTCTCTCTCTTTTCCCTTTAACTTTGTCTCCTCTTTCCCCATTTCTCCTTTCTTCCATTCTCTCCTTTCCCTTTTTTCTTTCCTCTATCTTTTCCTTCTCCAATTCCCCTTTCTTTCATCTTCTCCTTTCCCCTCTTCCCTTCTTCCATCTTCTCTTTTATCTTCCTTCCCCATTCTCCACTAAATTCTTACCCTCCCCTTTTTTTTCCTCCTTTCCTCTGTCCATTCTTTATCCTTTTCCCTCCTTCCTCCATCTCTATCTTTCTTGCGTCTTCCCTTCCCCCCTTTACCCCTTTTTTCCTTCACTTTCCTCTTTTCTCCTATTTCTTCATCCTTTCCTCTTCCTCTTTTCCTTCTCTCATTTTCCTCTTTTCCCCTTTTCTTCATCCTTTCTTCTTCCTTTTTTCTTTCTCTCATTTCCTCTTTTCCCCCATTTCTTCATCCTTTCTTCTTCCTCTTTTCTTTCTCTCATTTTCCTCTTTTCCCCCATTTCTTCATCCTTCCTTCCTCCTCTTTTTCTTTCTCTCACTTTCCTCTTTTCCCCCATTTCTTCATCCTTTCTTCTTCCTTTTTTCTTTCTCTCATTTTCCTCTTTTCCCCCATTTCTTCATCCTTCCTTCTTCCTCTTTTTCTTTCTCTCATTTTCCTCTTTTCCCCCATTTCTTCATCCTTTCTTCTTCCTTTTTTCTTTCTTTCACTTTCCTCTTTTCCCCCATTTCTTCATCCTCCCTTCTTCCTTTTTTCTTTCTCTCATTTTCCTCTTTTCCCCCATTTCTTCATCCTTTCCTCTACCTCTTTTTCTTCTCCCATTTTCCTCTTTTCCCCCATTTCTTCATCCTCCCTTCCTCCTCTTTTTCTTTCTCCCATTTTCCTCTTTTCCCCCATTTCTTCATCCTTCCTTCCTCCTCTTTTTCTTTCTCTCATTTTCCTCTTTTCCCCCATTTCTTCATCCTTTCCTCTTCCTCTGAAGGCCTTCCTCTCTTCTCTTTTCATTCCTCTTCTTCTTCCTTTCTTCAGGGCAGTCGACAACCCCCCCCCCATCTACCCACTCACCCCCCCCTATCTACTCATCCTCCCCCCCTCCCCCCCTATCTACTCATCCTCCCCCCCTCCCCCCTATCTACTCATCCTCCCCCCCTATCTACTCATCCTCCCCCCCTCCCCCCCTATCTACTCATCCTCACCCCCCCTATCTACTCATCCTCCCCCCCTCCCCCCCTATCTACTCATCCTCACCCCTCCCCCCTATCTACTCATCCTCACCCCCCCCCTATCTACTCATCCTCCCCCCCTCCCCCCCTATCTACTCATCCTCCCCCCCTCCCCCCCTATCTACTCATCCTCACCCCTCCCCCCCTATCTACTCATCCTCCCCCCCTCCCCCCCTATCTACTCATCCTCCCCCCCTCCCCCCCTATCTACTCATCCTCACCCCACCCACCCACTAACACCCCCCCCAGCCCACCCCTACCCACCTACCCACCCAAGCATTACCACCCACTCACTCTCCCCCCACACCCCCACCCACTCACTCTCCCCCACCCCCCCTACCCACTCATCCTCCCCCACCCCCCCACCCACTCACCCACTCATCCCCCCCCACTCCTAACCCCCCACCCCCCCCCTATCTCGCGACCACCCACCCGCTGCTAAAGTTGTTGTGTCTGGCAGTAACGTCTATTATTAAACTCACTTAATTTTCATGCATAAGAGGCCACACGTCTGGGGGAAGGAGACGAGGGAAGGAAGGGGGGGAAGGAGGGGGGGGAGTGGAGGGAAGGAGGGGGAAGGGGAGGGGGAGGTGCAAAGGGGGAGGGGAAGGAGGGGAGGGGAGGGGAAGGAAGGGGGGGGAGGAGGGGAGTGGAGGGAAGGAGGGGGGAAAGAGGGGGGAGGGGAGGGAAGGAGGGGAAGGGAGGAGGGGAGGGGAGGGGAAGGGGGGGGAAGGAGGGGGGAGGGGAGGTGCAAAGGGGGAGGGGAAGGAGGGGGGGAGGGGAAGGGGAGGGGAGGGGAAGGGGGGGAGGTGTAAATGAAGGGAGGGGGATAAAGGGAAGGGGGTAAGGGGAGTTAGAGAGGAGCAAGAGAGAAGAGAAAAAGGGAGAAAGGGAGAGGAAAAGGAAGGAAAGAAGGGAGAAATAGGGGGGATATATGATCGAAGAACAAGAAAAATAAGAAAAAGAATAAGAAAAAAATGAACAATAATAAAAATGAATAAATAAAAAAATAAAATCAATAAAATAAAAAGACGAAAAACAAACAAATCATGAGAAAGCGAAGATAAAAGAAAGAGAGAAAGAAAGAGAAAGAGACAGAGACAAACAGAGACAAAGACAGAGCCAGGGACAAAGAGAACGAGACAAAGACAAAAACAGACAGAGACAAAAACAGACAGACAGACAAAAACAGACAGACAGACAAAAACAGACAGACAGACAGACGAACGAGACCCCCTTGCAACGAGCGAAAGGGCAGCTGAAACCTGTTGTTTTGCAAGAATACTCCGAACAGCGCCACTCC